ATATGACTCATTTTTAATATTTTGATGTTTTGCATCATTATATTCCTTTCATAAAAATCATGGAATAAATTTGGAATGAGGGACTTACTATGACCCTTAATAGAACTATTAGATGAAGTAAACCAAGTTAAAATAACCTCATTTGTAGAACAATTACAAAATTAATGTGATATTTAAAAATGTCAAAAAATCATATCCAGATTTCAGAAGCAATTGGACAATGAATAAAAGCATGTTGTAAAGATTCAATATGAAAGCAAATTTGACTTTTAGAAACTATTGTAGTACCCTTGTTTTTCAAAACAAAGTCAGTAGGAATATAAAATTTAATAATAAGCCAAACAAAAATTTAATGTGATATAGGAATATATATATATATATAATTTATTTTATTTTATTTTATTTTTAGGCAAGGCTAATTCTGTTGCTGTTGATGCCAGTGAAAATCTCAAATTGGTTATTTCAGGCAACTGAAACTATGAAATATAAGGTTTTTTTGCCGAAATAATTCCGTCAACCCTAAGTTGTGGAGGCTTTTCAAATTATATGACTGTTTTCTATGGCAACCGTCATGATTAAAGAAAAAATTGGTGTTCATTGTTAGGATAGGATTAGATAAGTTAACATCAACTCATGTAACAACCTCATGTTTTAAGTTCCACAATGGGTAGCATATGTATTTTTAAAAAAATTTGAAGTTCGGTTTTTTAGGACTAGACATAAACAAGAGGTCAGGGAACCATAATCAGGCAACTAGTAGTCTTTGATTGATTTACTATGGGCTTTCCAAAGGAAATTTTACTGGGATAAATAAGGAAAGCACACATATATTGCTGTTGACATTTATGTGATGTGCAGATTATGTTATCTACAGCTTATGTGTTTAAGTTAAATTGTGTGATATCTTTATCTTTGCATAAACAATTTTCCATCAAATATTTGTTTCTTCATGTAATCCTCCATATTTCTTCTGTGGCTTCCAAACAATTCTCAGGATCATATATTAATTTATTAATGTGTTAATATGGCTTATGAGCCAGGTCGTTATGATGGTTTTTCAAAATTGTTTAAAACATGCCGCTTTCTAACTTGGTATTTCCAGGGTTATTAAAGCAAGGTGATAGGACCCCCTTTTACATGGTTTATGAATATGGGCTATGTTGAGTCTAGTAATTAGGTTGTTAAGCCTAAG